TATTTATGCCTGAGTTTTCCCTGTGTCCCTTGCGAAGTCTTGTTACCCTGTAAGCGTGCAATTCCGAGCGTTACTCCCTGTTCTGTGTCTCCGTGTTTCCCTGGACTGTCTTGACCCTTGCCTGTTTCCTGGACTGTTCACGAACCTGTGCTGCCTGCCTCGACCATTGCCTGTTTAGACCAAGAGTTTCTGGATTGCCCCTTTGTTTAATTCTGTATCTAAGTTTGTCTGCTTGTTTCAAGTATAATAAAGTGCTGCACATGGATCCGACCGTCTCTGTCCGTACGTTACAAAAAGAACCTTCATTATTAATAAATTTTCTAAAAGTAGGCTACTGTTTAAAGGAACACTCCGACTTTTTGGGACTTTAGCTTATTCACCATACCCCCCAGAGTTAGATAAGTCCATACATACCTTTTTCATCTCTGTGCATGCTGTAACTCTGTCTGACGCACCCACCGCTAGCCTAGCTTAGCACAAAGACTGGATGTAAATGGATACAGCTAGCATACTAATCTCAAATAAGTGACAAAATAACGGACACATTTTCTTATTTACATGTTGTGATTTGTATAGTCACAGAGAGTACAAATAACAAGGTAAAATGAGAGCCATCTTTTAACCGTAGCCTATAAAAATTGGGAACTATATTCTCAGAAAGCGTCATCATGGTATTACCTGGTCTCCCCTGTTTATTGTCGCACCTCTTTACAATACAGCGGACATCCATGATTGTAAACTATGCTTTTACTATCTAACAATTGCTGACTCTATACTCCAACTCTGAACGAACTCTCTGCTCCTCACCATGGCACGTCTCAAGTGCTGCGGTAATCACTCCGCCCGAGTAGCAGTGCTTCGCCTTCTCAGAATATAGTTCCCAATATTTATACGGTTAAAAGATGGCTGTGTCTCATTTGACTTGTTATTTCACTCTGTGACTGTACAAATCACAACATGTAAATAAGAAAATGTATGCGTTATTTTTTTCACTTATTTGGGATTAGTATGCTAGCTGTATCCATTTACATCCAGTCTTTGTGCTAAGCTAGGCTAGCGGTGGGTGAGTCAGGAGATGAAAAAGGTATGTATGGACTTATCTATCTCTGAGGGATATGGTGAATAAGCTAAAGTCCCAAAAAGTCGGAGTGTTCCTTTAATTTGAACTAATTTATTATCTAATGACAACAAATTTAACCTTATTGTAAATTATTAACATAAAATGAATTCCAACAAGGCTGTCTCATGATCTGACCTCATCAGCTTGTAGCTGCAGGTGGATTCTTACTGCCTTCACAATGATATACACAAACCGTCCCAGCAGGAAAAGCAGGCACAGAAAGAACGGCCACAGAATGATCCATTTCTCGTTAGGACCTAAAACCTGCAACCAGCAAAATGTGCTTTAATGATCTACTGTCACAACTACATATTATGCTATATCAATTATATTCATCCAAAGACACCACTGCAAGCTTTGTATACTGAGGGATAATAACCTTAACATGCAAACATAAACGTAATAATATAAAGTTAATCATTAATAAATGAAAGTGAATTATTAATAATATTAACCAACCCTTCCAGAGGGACAGCTTATCGTGTCATACAGTCTCACAATGAGCCTGAAACCCACATTATAGTCAACAGTCAGTTCATCAACACTATATAAAATCCTACAGCTACAAGTACAAACAGAGGAGTATTGAGGTAGGCCAAGATTTCAGATTAAAGATTTATCTACAGTATGTGTGTGAGTAGTTTTTTTTTTGTACCACATGAGTGTGTATAGAAGACCTAAAGCCCCTCCTAGTGCTCGGTGTGGCGTTGACAGACAAGCAAAGAATGGCAGGTACGCCACGCCAACCTCTATCGCTCCTACCAGGTACAAAATAGCTGAAAGAAACGCACATATATATCAACTGTAACTTCTCTTTGGTTTACATGACATCATTTTGTTACATTATAAATGTATTTACTGATCAATTTCATGCATTCATTTATTTCAAACCTTTGAATGGTAGAGTATAACAAATACAAATATGTGCATTGTCATAAATAAACTACCTTTAGCCCAGTTAGGCACATTAAATGGTGCGTAGGACTCAGAGAAAAGCTGAATCACACTGGGAGCAATAGCACCAAATGCAAAACCATAAGACCATCGGTTACTTAGATTGCCGATGAAATCCAATGGACTGCAGAGGAAAACACAAATACACACACAAAGTCTTTAAACTAAAAACCAAACTAAAAACACAGATGAATATTAAAAGCAGAACTTCATATTTTGTTTCAAAATCACTCACACCACAATGCCAAATCGACCCCTGAGATACGGAAAGCGATTCTCAAAGGGCTGAGCCTTCGCTCTGCGCTGTACAAATGAAAGCAGAAACACAATGAAGACCTGAAACACAAAGAAAATGAACCCCATTACAAATACACTCTGAGAGAAGTCTAATGATCCAATGATTCTAATAAAGTAGGGAACATGCAGTGTCTCCAAACAGTATTTAGGCAGCAGTTCACACAAACTGATTAAGTTACTGCAAAAATGATATTCATGTAATCCTGACAATTCTTATTTAATAGTGTAGCATCAGTGTATCATGTAGCAAAAGTGTTGAATGTTATATCCTGAGGGAAGAGAGTTCTGTCTGGACAAATGAAGGCCTTACTCACAGCAGGAACAAGAGAGCAATGCAGGAACAAATCCAAGGAAATTCCTTTCTGACATTCCTCCCTGAGAGACAGAATGGAGAGAGAGTGAATAATGAGAAAGAATGAGCAAGGGTTTAGAGCTTTCATGCTGTATGAATGAATAAAATGGCAGCTGAATGAAAACAGCTTCAATGATTCAATTGATCAAAACATAACTGGCCCACTTACTTTAATAAAAGTAGGCATTATTTTCAGGCTAATTATTAATATTGTTTATTGTTATTATATAAGATGTAGATATCTGAACATCGACAGATAAGATTTATCACACACATCACAGTGACCTAAAAACACTTCCCCTTATCAACAGAAAAATTATTTTTGTTACATCATTTTGCAAGATTTGACCTATTTCTATGACCTTTGTTTGAAATACACCATTTTTCTATTTTATTTTCAAATCATTTTAGTTATTGATCAAATTTTACATACATTTGAACCATTTCTACAGCTAGTCTCACAGAAAACATGTATTAATATAACTTTTTAAAAGAGAGATAATTACTAATATGTTTTTCTGTGATCGGTTTAGATGATTAAATATTGGTTTAGGTAAAGGACATTTAGTCAATTAAATAATCTTATTTAAATTCAAATGTTAAACTTTTAGTGAAGTTTAAACTCTTAGCATGAACAGAGGCCTACACATTTACCAAAATAAATACTCTAAACATTATAAGAATGTCTTCGCAAGTAGGCCAACTGAAGGTGTCTACTATTCTTTTCCTGTCATTCTGAAAAGTGTTTCAAAAGCAGAAGTAACTCACATGATTTCTGCAATGTCTCCCGTTCTGCTGGTGAAGTACACGAGGGATCTTCTATTGCTGTTGCTTATAGACAAAGACTAGAGTAGCTCTCCGTCAGGACCGTCATAACAGACTATAGTTCCAATAAACCATGACATGAAGTACAGCTTTCACTTGAACTTCATGAATGAGGATATAGATAGATATCTAGTCACGTGACTGGACAAACTTCGACCTAGGCCACACACGTACTAGTGTCTCACAGAGAGAGAGAGATGTGCCAGTGTGTTTTATTGACTGTACTGTTACTGGTTGTTCAAACATAGATAAGACTTGCTGTTGAACTAGACAGATGATTTAGAGCTCACCCCTTCTCTGTTTGTGTGTTATTAGCATTGCCCAGTGGCGGCATAAACATTAAATGGCATCTTACGCACGCACAAAAGCCATCGACACATGCCGATTGTGCGAAGTGATAGCCTAGCCTAGGCTATGTCCAGTGAGCGTGCGGTATATTTTCATTGACATGAGACCTATGCATGAGACAGAGAATATAATAGACGGGCTTTGTCTGAGCTGAACCAGAGTAATGAACTAACTATGAACAGTATTTTTATTAACCAACGTTAAAAAAGATTAATAAATACTGTAACAACCACATTGCTCATTGTCATGCATTAACTGTTATCTACCAATCTTTAAAATATTGTAAAAGTACATTAAATTAATTATTTCATGACAAATTATTTGAGAAATAATGCACAGAATTATAAATCCGAATTAAGTTAGTTAATATTGTCACATCATTCATAACACAAAAAAATTAAAATAACTAAACAAACTATAATCTAGAGATAACGTTATAGCGGGATATGCTGCTGATCACGGAAATAAACACAAGGGGGCGCCGTTGATGAGATGAGAAGAGTGTTCATGCTATTTTGTATGGAATATCTGTATCTTCACAATATCTTTGCATTTTTTTTAAGTTTCTGAAAGAAGCCCTTTTTACAGTAGTTTTATTATTTGTCTGTTTGATTAACATATTTTCATACAGTGACAAGATAAAAAGACCCTTTAACTCTTAAAAACCCCTAGCCTAAAAGTGTATGTGAGTTATTGCATTACATAACAAAATAGAACTGCACACTTAAAACATTTAGCAAAAAAAAAAAAAGAAGAAGAAGAAGAAGAAGAAGAGGTTTGGTCAGAGTTTTCTTTTGACACTTTCAGCTTGTCAAACGTTAGTGAAACATTTATGAAATACTCGTGGTGCTGTAGCACACCTGTGTGGGTATTTGTAGCTATAAGTAAAAAGGTTATTTGTTTCAAGCGCCTTTTTTATAAAGAGCTGGTGGGGGGTACATGTATTATTGTAAATGTTTATTTGATATCTAGGCCAATTTTTTATTATACTTTATTATAAATTATATTATTTGTTCATTATATTATGTTTAACTACACATTCACTATGAATGTGTGTGGGTGTAAGTTTCTACAGGCACTAGAAACGCCCACCTCACCGCTGCCACTCCAATGGATCTGCGCTTTCCCAGACATTACCAATGCCTGAAACACAACGATTTACAGTGGTCAGACGCGATCAATATCATAAAAAGTTTCATGAATAGGATTTTGCTGATCATCCGATGAACGACTTATAACCTGTATTCTTCGCCGTCTCCCATTATTCAGTGAGAATGCCGGAGTCTGTGCTGCTGAATGTGGGTTTCTTGGGTAAATCATGCGTCGTGCTCGTGTGTCTCTGCGGGGTTCACATCATCGTTGCACTGTTTTTATATTTAACAGAGTCACCTACAAAATTTACGAATTACCGGCAAATGCCATCAGACTCTACTTTAGTTATTGTTACTTCACAAACTCACAGAATTGTCACCCAATATGACAATGGAACAGTAGAAACAAACGTAAATAAACTGATCTATAACGTTACTGTACTAGAATCGTGTCCTGAGACGTCACCACTTTTGGGTAAGTTTTCGTAAACTTTAAATTATTTACTAGGCTACTATTTGTTCATATTGCTCAGTTTGTTTGTTGATAGGGACTAGTTGACACACATTTTACACAAATTAATCTATATTTTTTCAGAATAGGATTATTTAGAATTGTATGTGTTTAAAAAAACATGTGTTTTTAAGTCAAAATGTTTATATTTTATTTATTATAGCCCATACATAGCTACATCATAGACGAAATATGCTACATGTTTCAGGTGGTTTTAGTTGTAGGGATATTTTTATTCTAGAAAGAATCAGATTTAACGAAAATATGTGTAGTGAAGGAGTTATCAATATTTTGGTGGCTTTTTCCAGAAGAGAAAGATTGAACAGTTTCAATGTGAATACCTGTTAAAAAAAATAATATAACCTTCTCCTGCTGGGACCCCCAACAGGACATGTTTTTGTTTTCATCCTGAAATGGCGTTCAATTAGTCAGCTACACACCGAGCTTTTGAGGCCAACTTAAAATTGAACTTAAAAGGATTGAACTTAAAAGTCTTATCAGTAAAAAAGATAGATGGAAAAAAATATTGTGAGTGACAAAGAGAAAAAGAGACAGGGAAATAAAAACAGCCTGATTGAAACAAGAAGTAAACTGTTGTTGCTTAAAATGGGTCTTCCTCTTTCATGTGTGCAAACCTATTGACCCCCACTTCTTATGTGCTCTCCCTCTTTCCGTTCCTATTTCAGTGGGTCCAATGCGAGTTGAATTTTCAGAGAAAGTGGATTTGGATGTGGTACGTAAAGAAAATCCACAGCTGGTGATGGGCGGCAGGTATAAACCCGGTGACTGTTTGGCTCTGCAAAAAGTGGCATTAATCATCCCATTCAGAAACAGAGATGAACACCTGAAATACTGGCTCCACTACATACATCCCATCCTACAGAGACAGCAGCTTGATTATGGGATTTATGTCATAGAACAGGTACAGCACTAACAACCTATTTATTTACTACTCCATCTTACTCAGATGACAGCAGCTGAGTGGACAAGAAATCTGTGGTTTGCACACAAATCAATCAAATGAGCTAAAATAAAATCCACACCTAATCAAACCACACAAACCTGCAATAGATTCATTCATTGTTAGATAGATAGACAGACATACTTTTGCAGGTTAGACTTTTCTTCAGGTGACCTTGAAGTATGGAAATGTGGTGAAATGGCTTTGCATAGACAAGATCTTTCACATTTGACTGCTTTGAAATTTGCTACACAATAACAACGAAAGGGAAAACGAGAAATGCAACATCTGAACACTAACATAAATAGAACATGTAACACCTGTTTTTTTGGGTGTTGATACTTTTATGTATTTATAAGTAAATTTTAAAGCTGAACTTTGGATCTTTGGTGCTGGATTGGTTCTGAAAGGCATCTGTCACGACACACACTTACAAAAGGTTAGGATCCAAATGCATTTATTTGTAAAAACGTAAATCCAGGCATGCTAAAGGTCAAAGTGTATACAAAACAATCCAAAACAAGCGCAACCAGACCTCAGTGTAACATACAACAAGGACTCCGTAACAAACACTAAACAGGCAGGGTATTTATACACACAGAACTAACAATTATGATGGGGAACAACTGGGTGTAATGAACCGTGATGAGAGCAGACAAGAATTGTGGGAAATGCAGTTCCTAATGTGAATGACACCATGGGGGAAGAGGACCTCTAGTGGACCCCGGGGAACATAAACGGTTAAACCAACACGGACAGCATCTCAGACTACTGCTATGTTAAAAATGGTCAATATGGGCTCTGAAATAAACACTACTCTTCCAAATGTTGTGGTCAGTGACACGTTTTAATGTCTATTATGCTTACCAAGGCTGCATTTATTTGATCAAAGAGATTCTGAAAATAATTTAAAATGTTAATTTTTAACCTTTCACCAAATACATGGCTCAGTACATCAGTACATAGCTACCTCCTCTATTTTGTTTTGTTTTTTCTTGTCATTTTAGCCTCATTTTCATGCTCTGTTCACCTTCTTCACAAGAAAATCAGCATGCAAAATGTCATGCAGACTTTAGGCCCTTTCTTGTACCCAGCGTGATCGACTTTGTACACCGGAATCGACTTCAAAAAGGAATGTATCATTCCTATTTTTCAACCCGACACACAGCGTACTTTTCCCTCAACAGAGTATTTAGGTTCCAATACAATAGTATGTATAATTATTTTGTATATATATATATATACACATATGCATGTATTTATTTACAAAAAATGTGTTATTTAATATATCAAAAATTTATAGTTATGTATAATATTAATTTTGTATAAATATATATAAAGTATATACATGCAAATATTTCTTAAATATGTATGCATGTGTGTGTATTTATATATACAAAATAATTATACACACTACACGTACATATATTACGTAGCCTAAACACAAACTTTTATTTTGGATGCGATTAATCGCATTTAATCGTTTCACAGCCCTAGGGGCGCAAGAGTAATTTACCGAGATCCGCCGACAAAGTTATTTGCATTGCAAGTTTGATACTTGCGTTTAGCTGTAGTCATTAAGGTCTAATCAATGTTAAAGCAATATGTTTTGCATAAAACCAATGGACAGTTTACATGTGATCTTTACATTCCTGCCCAAAATTAAGTTGTGTTTCATGACATTTAATGTGACCTTGCTTTATCCTGCATGTTTAGGAAGGACAGGACACATTCAACAGGGCGAAACTGCTCAACGTGGGTTACGCAGAGTCCCTAAAGGAGTATGATTATGACTGTTTCATCTTCAGTGATGTAGACATCATTCCTATGGACGACCGCAACACCTACAAGTGCTCCAGCCAGCCGCGTCACCTCTCTGTGTCCATGGACAAATTTGGTTTTAGGTAAGATGAAGCTTTACCGTAGAAGGATATGTAACATTTGTTAAGTGACACAAGCGTCTGAAAGTTTTAATTGCCTTTAAAAAAACAGTCCCTCAAAAATCTATTTACCTAAAAACAAATGACCTTAAAGTCAAGCGCAGGTCGCATATTCAACGTTTACATAAATGAAATAACCTGTTATGTTAGAATGAAGATGGCTAATATTGTATTTTCATGAACGTTGTTCCTGCATCATTTGAATAAAGTATTTGATCACAATGCAGCTATAACCTGTGACGTGGTTATACCAACACTATACCGGATGAACCGGGTGTGTTAAAGTAAACAGTCAACCCAAGACAATCCTTCATATAAGGAAGCTGATAAAGAGCTGGGAACAACTGAAACTGTAATATGAATTAATACTGCCATACTAGAGTCATGAACAATAGAAGCTGAAACAGATTAACCAAGAACAAGAAAATAATAAATGAATCTTTGAATATAAAGCCACACAAAGATGAAATGCCACATGTTGTTATGTTGCTATAACACTATTTTGCTTTGGTTCTATGTTTGTGATATAATATTTATTATATTTACATTGATCAAAAGTTATTATAAGATTTATATTTCAAATAAATGCTGTCCTTTTGAACTTTCTAATCATCAAATAGGCCTAATCTTGAACAGTAGCCTATGTATCATTGTTTCCACAAAAATCTTAAGCAGCACAACTGTTTTCAGTTTTGATAAAAATAAGAAATATTTCTTGGGCACCAAGTGTTTTCTGAAGGATCATCTGATACTGAAGACTGAAGTATTGATGCTGAAGATTGATTTTAGAAGAGAAGTTACATATAGCACCTTTAACGTTATCCTTAGCGTTTTACGTTATCGTCCTTGGTGTGAACGGGCCTTAATTATGACATCCAAACTCATAAATAGGAAGTTATCACTTGCACAAACTTCATATGGTCTCAGAATGTGGTTATTTTTTATATATTGATTATATTATTAAGTTTTTGTTTGAATACAGGTTGCCATATAAACAGTATTTTGGGGGTGTATCAGCAATGAGTAAACAGCAGTTTCAAAAGATTAATGGCTTTCCTAATAACTATTGGGGCTGGGGAGGAGAAGACGATGACATCTTTAACAGGTGAGGAAAATATCGAACTGTTACTATTAATTACAAATTCTGTCCTATTATGTACAAGATCATTTAGACAAACATGCAAGATGCTTGTTTTTTATAATGACAACCCTCAGAATAGTTTTAGCCTGTTATTGAATATGGCAATGTTAATGTATTTGGACTTGCAAAGTCAAGTCACCTTTATTTATGTAGCACTTTATACGATACAGATTGTTTCAAAGCAGCTTTACAGTGATAACAGGAAAATGATTCAATGATTGATTCAATGTTTCTTCTGTTCTTGGGCTCAGTCGAGGGGCCAGTTCTCCTCTGGCCAATGAATGAACACTATTTCAAAACAAGTATAGACTTGCTACTGATAATAGATACACAGACACATAGCAGATCAGGGCAGGCGGAGCTGAAGGGTTTCAGAGGAACTCTAATAATAATGACTATTTTATGTTGAGCAAGCAATCCCATTGGCTGCAGGATCAGCAGAGGCCACTCACATTGTGCCATATGATGATAATGATGTGATTTCTTGTAGATTGCATGTAAAGGAGTCTGTGCCGAGTTTTAATAAGGGCTATTCTCTTTGAAGGATGACGTTTCAAGGAATGAAAATATCAAGACCAAGTGGAGACATCGGTAAATGCAGAATGATTCGTCACTCAAGAGACAAGAAAAATGAGGCAAACCCACAGAGGTAATCTCTTTCACTCATACATTACGTAGTACGTACACTCTTAAAAATAAAGGTATTGGTAGGCACTGATGGTTTTATGAGGAACCTTTAAAATTCATGGAACGTTTCCAATGCACAAAAAGGTTATTCTTAAATGTTCCTCATACTAATAACAAGTTTCTTTGGGGACCCCAAAATGATTCTTCTATGACATTGCTGTAGGCAACCTTTATTTTTAAGAGTGTAGACATGCATGAATACAAGACAGATTGAATGACTTTCTAAAGCCGTATCTCTGTATTATAGATTTAAGAAAATTGCTCACACAAAACAGACAATGCACACGGATGGCATCAAATCGCTCAAATACAAAGTGATAAATATAGAGAAAGACCAACTCTACACCAAAATCACCGTGGACATCGGCAAACCATGAAAACCCTCAGAAGAAACCTGTCTCGCTGCAACTCTTCAGGGATTTTTAGATTGCACTGATATCGAATTTTATCGAACTTTACACCGAATCGGTTCAAACCAAGTGAAAAAAGTCTTCTTCTTTTGTAAAAGAAAGCATTGTTGGAAAACTAAGTTTGAAAATAAAATCTTCTTAGTGAAAGATTAACAAACCTGGGTGAAATTAGACTCACCCGTGTGCCTTATATGCATATAAATATCTATGTTTATATTTAACATATGTCTGTCTTTAAATTAGTCTTCCATAAATCTTCCATTCAAAGATGCAGGTCAAGTGTTTGCCTATAACACAAACCTGCACACTCCATTCAAACCCCCTTACAGAGCTTTTCGTATACTTATGACATATTTTGGTAGTAAATATGCATTGATAGTTTGAGTCTAACTTTACATTTCATGTTATCATGCTAAGTACTGAAGGATTAAGTATGAACAAAATTATTCAATACATTGGTATTGTTTTGTTCTATTGTTTTACAATATCATATACATAATGGACACTCTTGTAAAGTGTTATTTTCCAAATAGAACATCATTTTGATTGGTGGAGGTTGAGTGTTGTGTACGCCTTAGACAATGAGAAATATTTCACACTAGGCCAGTGGGTCCTGTTATTTGTTACTGATATGATTAGGGGGAAAAATAGCTATGAACTATGAAAGAGAACTGAAAAGGCAAGTGCTAACACTGCTGATGGGAAAATATAGAGTTAGACTATGTACAAAGTTTTGGGGTCGGTAAGATTTTTTTTATGTTTTGGAAAGAAGTCTCTTATGCTCACCAAGGATGCATTTATTTGGTAAAAAATTGAATTGTTTTCTATTTTATTGTATTTGAACATTTTTATTTATTCCTGTGATGGCAAAGGTGATTTTTTAGCATCATTACGGCAGTCTTCAGTGTCACATGGTCATTCAGAAACCGTTCTAATATGCTGATTTGGTGCTCAATAAACTTTTCTTATTATTATCAATGTTGAAAACATCTGTGCTGTTTTTGTTTAAAAAATATTCAGGGTACTTTGATGAATAAAAAGTTCAAAAGAACAGCATTTATTTGAAATAGAAATCTTTTAATATACCGGTCTACTGTCACTTTTAATGCGTCTTGCTGAATATAAGTTACACTAGTTACACATTTACAAGGTACTAAAAATAATCCGCCCTACCTTCCGGGTTCATTCTTGCAACCCTGAAACAATAAAACATGTTTACATACTGCATTTTTTTTTAAATCTCAAGTCATTTTTACGAAATGCAGAGCAACATTGTAGTGACTTAACTCCTATTTTACACACCCACAGCCTTAGGTTGCTACAGACTGTAGTATAATCAACAAAGATTTATATCAATTGATTAATATTAATCAAACAGACTGATCAAAAATAGCTGTAGCTCAAAAAGAACAATTTCAGAAATCTGAATATAAATAATAATGCTGCCCTCATTTCACATACATGAACCAAACAACACGGTGTGGCATTTCATCTTTATGTGGCTTTAATGGGACACCATGCAGGAATTGTTTTTGGAGTACTTGTGTTTAACGTTACTGTTGTAAACCTAGAAATAATAAATACATAGACGCCCTACTGGCCGCTGGAGCTTACGTCAACGGCACTTCTCATAGCGAGAACTGAGAAAAATGCCTGTTTCGTGTGCTTCTTTACTTATTAAACTTATTTTATTTCACCTAGTTGCCAACATTTTTCATTTTTGTTTATTTAGGAAATGACTAAAACTAATTTAACTAAAACTGTAGAAAATGTAAGATAATGAAGAGAAAAATAGAGATATTTTAATGTATATTATTAGTATGTGTAAATTAATGTAAAAAAAAAAATCTAATTCAAAACTTTATCATAAAATATAATTGAATAGCCGTGATTTAAAAGAACTCTGGTGGTCCTAGAGCATAAGGCCAGTTGTTGGGACATAAAGGGTTGAAGAAGAAATAAAGAAATACATATTTCAGATGCTTTATTTTGACCATGAATCTTCATGATCCTGTGTGCTCTGCAGGAGTTTAACAGTCTCCATCACGTGTGATTAAAATTTCTGATTTGGTTCTCCTAAAAAAGGACACAAAATGTAATCATTTTATAAAAATATATATATAATCTACTCTAATTGTTTGTGTGTATGTCTGTGAACGTGACCTACAGTCTTTCCACACACAGCAAGCACTCGTTGCCGTAGGTGTTTCCGTCACTGCCGCACACAGGCGCGAGGTTCATAGGACAAGCCAGGATCTCCGCCATCTCAGCGCACACAGGCTACAAAACACACACATCCACGTGCGTCAGACTAATTAAACCACTGCATTACAATAGTTTTAACCACGAAAAGTTCAATGAAAACAATAGTTACACATTTACAAGGTAAAGAAAAAATCCTCCTTACCTTTCGGGCTGAGCCAGTTGCTCCTTGCGCCCCTGAAACAGTTTTAATTACTTTACATATTGCATTTCTGACCGAAGAGGTTAAACATGTTCCTGTTCTTGTAATGTTTAAGTAATGCAGAGCAACATTGTTGTGATGTAAACACCTATTTTGCAGCCTTAGTTTGTTACAAACTGTACTATAATTAACAAAGACTACAGATAATTAGAATCAATTGATTAAATTTGACACTCATCATAGGCTTTATGTTGACGCACCCAAATATGTACCTGAAGGGATCAGCAGAAGCAAGCCGAACAGAAGCACTATAGACATATTGACAAAGAATGAGCCCTATAGTACTCACATGACTTTATATGACGATAATGAAGTGTGGGAATTACAACACTTGAACACACATGCACAGACCCACTACTAGAGATAAGACCGTTTAAAGGGATAGTTCACTTTATTACAGATTTCCATGACGCATGCGTGAGAACTGTGATCTTTTTCTACTCCTTCTAGTTCAGTTTTCGCGCATGTTAAACTACATGCTAATCATACTAGCTTCTTGCTAAAAACATGCTAGCATGATGCTAACAACATGCTAATTGTGCAAGCATGCTAGCAACATGCTAGTCATAAAACAACATGCTAATCATGCTAGTTACATGCTAATAATGTTAGCATCATGCTAGCTACTAGGGCTGTAACGATACACCAAACCCACAATTCGGTTTGTATCACGATTTTTGACCCACGACTCGATTCGTATCGCCATTCTATCACGGGGCGGGGCTTGGGATGAAAAATAGATTTTGAGAGGAAAAAATATACAAGTATTTTTATTAAATAACATTTGGAAAAACGTATAGAATCTGAACACCAAAAAACAATAATAACTATGCAAATTATTAAACTAAACTAGGCAGTGTAGGCTGCTGCTTTTGGGTGGTTTTCTGTGCTCCAACTATATATTTTTTTTATAAGGCCCTTCTTGTTTAGAACTTCATGCATGTGTATTGCATGTTAAACAAGTACATAATGTAATGATAAAAAGACTGTTAACAACATATTAATTGTCTACATGCTAATCATGCTACTATAGGAACAATTCTGCAAAAGCTATATCTCTGCATCAGAACATTGTATAAAGATGGGGGTTGGGTCTTTTGACTCATTCTAGCAAACAGGACTTCCAACATGATACACATGCTAGCTGTGAATAGCTACATAATAATAGAGATTAAGTTAGTATTTGCGCCCTAGCAACACGCTAGCAACTGAATAGCTACCCACCCCAAATACCCTAGCAACCGCCTATCAACACCCTAGCAACCACCCACCCAGAACACCCTAGCAACCACACAAAATACCTTAGAACACCCTAGCAAACTTTAACCTACTTTAATATTTAAACTAATTTGACCTTTAAACTTTCTAATCCAAACTCTCTCAAGCCAACTTAAAGTTTGTTTCGTTCAATTTTATCTCAATGCACCAGTTCAGTTAAGAGTCTGGAGTGCTACTTGCTTGTCCTTGCGTTGCTTTGGGGATTCCCTTTTGTAGGCATAAAAGGGTGTTTCCCTGTTTCGTTGTTTGGTGGTCTCCTCGTGCCTGTATAGATGTCTCTGGGCGGCCAATCATGTGGTGTGTTGGTGGATGGATGAAAGTCTTTTGAAGTTCGAACTTCGAAGCGCTTTGCAGTCGAAATGGTTTACCGAAACTTTGCAGCAAAAGTTAACTCAGAATTGAAACTCTGGGTTCCATCCATAGAGCAATGGCCAAACCAGGAGAGCCAACCAGGATTTGGAGAGATAGTGTTGCGAAGTTTGGTGTCAAAGAATTCTTCATCCTGCAGTCAGCAACTCTCTGTGGTTGAGTATAACTCGTTACCAGTGTCATCTACAGGCCTATCTCCGTTTGAGTGTAGCTTAGGTTACCAGGCACCCATTTTTCCTAGTCTGGAATCCGAACTCCCGATGCCCTCCGCCCACGACATCATCCAGACGTGTCACCACACATCCCATGAGACTCTGCTCCTGGTGGGGGCGGGCACCAAGGCTAAGGCCGATCGCCACCGGTCGAAGCCTCCCGTATACATCGTGGGTCAAAAAGTGTGGCTTTCTACTAAGAACATTCCTCTCCGCTCCGTTTCTAATAATTTAGCTCCCAAATTTAGCTCCCAAACTTCCTCCTTCATACAGGATTATTCATACCACCTTTCATGTGTCCCGGTTCCTCCCCCGCCGCGACTAGTTGATGGGGAACCCACATATTCGGTAAATCTCTTTCTGTACTCAAGGCAGAGGGGACGCCGATTTAAGAATCTGGTGAACTGGGAAGATTACGGTCTGGAGGAGAGAAGTTGGGTATCAGCTAAGGACATCCTGGATCACTCCCTTATCGATGATTACAATCGACAGGTAAGGGTGTCTGGGAATGTCTGGAGGCATTATGGGAGGGAGGGTAAAGTCACGGTTCATATCTTCACTGGACCCCCCTTGTCTTGTGACTTTGTTATTGTGCATGTTTCTATGGGCGTGCCCCAGGTCACAGACAACAAAGGCACCACACGATACATTCAACTGGAAACAGAGAACATGGGAACATCAATGGAACAGGAACTAACCAGGAAACATACCACAACGATCTGATAAAGACAAGAAGTA